TGGGAGAAAATATTTACAAGTCACATATCTGATACAGGGGTTGTATCCAGAAATATATAAAATTGTTAATTAACTATACTTCAATTTTTAAAAGTTCTCAACAATAAAAATAATCTGGTAACAGGATGAAAATAAATATTTCACTGAAGAAAGTATCTGGAATGGTTAAATGTATTACCCACTAAACACAGTTCTTTTCAATTTAAATGATTGCCATATAGTTCTCCAGTTAATAAAGATGGAAATGTTTGATTAACTGAGCAGCTGTTCTTTATTGTTTTGCATTCTCCTCATAGCTTGTAAGCACTGAATTGTGCTATGTAATTTGTATTTTATTCCATTAGTGGATATAAAGATTTACTGATTATTTCTAATAATTAAATTATGCATTTCAACTTAAAAAAAACTCTAAAATTTCTATAATAAGAAAACAAAGGACCCCCTTTTTTTTTTTTAATGGGCAAAAGATTTGGACGATTCACTAAAGTAGCTACATGGACGGCAGTTAGGCGTGTGAAAGGAAGCTCAGCATTATCAGTCATTAGGAAAATACAAATTTAAACCATGATAGGATACTACTACCCACCTATGAAAATGGCTATAACTAAATAAACTAAGCAGAGCCAATGCTGGCAAGCATGTGGAGCTACTTAAACTCTCATACATCACTGGTGGGAATGTAAAACGATCTGTTTGGCAGTTTTTAAAGTGTTAACTATACATCTACCATATGACTCAGCTCTTCAACTCCTAGGTATTTACATAAGATGAATGAACTGAAACAGGTGGATGAAATGTCCAGTAACAGGTGGATGGGTAAACAAGGAATGGTTTGTTCATGCAGTGGAATACAACTTGACAATTAAAAGGAATACAATATTGATACACTCAATAACATTGATGAACCTCAAAATAATGATGTTGCCTTCAAGAGGCCATTCAGAAAGGCGTATGATTCCGTTTAGATAAAATTCAAAAATTCTCGAGAATGCAAAATCATCTACAGCGACAGAAAGATCAGGCACTGATTGTCTGGGAATTGGCGGGGGTTGGGGGGGGCAGGGAGAAGTAAGAGGTGGGGGATTATAAAGGAGCATGAGGAAACTTTTTGGAGTCTGATCTGTTCATTATCTTGATTTGATGGTTTTGCAGCTATATACATGCACCCAAACTTATGAGATTGTATACTTCTTTACGAGTTCAATTCACTGTATGTCACTTCTACCTCAATAAAATTGTGCCTCTGTTGCCTCAACACAATGGCTACCTCCCAGCTTTGTCATTAGAATCAAATGAGTAGAAACTTTTAGAATGGCTCTTGGCTCGTTAGTAGTGAGGGCTGAAAACGTGTTGTTTCTTGGGCTTCCCTGGTGGCGCAGTGGTTGAGAGTCCGCCTGCCGATGCAGGGGACACAGGTTCATGACCCGGTGCGGGAAGATCCCACATGCCGCAGAGCGGCTGGGCCCGTGAGCCATGGCCGCTGAGCCTGCGCGTCCGGAGCCTGTGCTCCGCAACGGGAGAGGCTACAACAGTGAGAGGCCCGCGTACCGCAAACAAACAAACAAAAAAAACTGTGTTGTTTCTTACTGTTGTTACAAACACGGAGGCTCAGAGGAAAGTTTTAATACAGGAATTTATTTCTTGGTAAGCAGGCAATATTACCACCTACATAGAAAACAAAATAGTATAGGAATCAAATGACTTGCAAATAAAAGTAAAATTTGTTTCTTAGTTGTCCTGAAATCCGTTTTTTGTACCTTCTTTAAAAAGTGAATTTTTATCTTAAAAAATACAGTAAAAGAAAAATAATCCTATTGACAGCACAGCCAATTTCAGGTGTTAAATAAGGATGCTTGCATGACAATTTCCCCAAATTCCCTATAATTCTCATTTTGTGATGGTTTAAATCCTTTGGAGAATGCTGGGAGATTTTCCCAGGAATACAGGTTTGTGGGAGAGAAAGAACCAAGTAGGTAGTCTTTCTTGGCTCAGACGACATTACTGTTAAACATTAATTACCGAGAACTTATATTTCCTAAGACAAGCTCGTGTCTGAGTGAAAAACCAGTTCCTGCAACCCCAGAAAAATCGTATGCAGCCTAAAGTGGTTTTTACAAAGAGACCTTGGAGGGATGAACAACGTTCTCTCATTGGTTGAAGAGCTTGCCCAGTATGCCCTATGCACCCTTGGGGTTGGCTGAGGCAGGCCCGTCGCTGGACTGCTCCCTCAAGACTGGCGGAGTCAGGTTCTCCACGCCCGATACTGCTCCCTCGGGATTGGCTAAGGAAGGCTCTCCACACTCACTTCTGCTCCCTCAGGATTGGCTGAGGCGGAGTTTCCAAGAGCCATTCTGCTCTCCTAGGATTGGCTGAGGCAGGCTGTCCATGCGATTCTCCCTCTGGATTGGCTGAGGCTCTGAAGTTCTTCCCGCCTTTTCCCCGGCCGCCATCTTGCTTCCTTCCCCCAGGCCCTCATCAGTCAGCCCGCGGTGGAGCCCAGAGGCCAGCGGGTGGCTCAGCTCTCTGGAGGGAGCGGCAGGACCCCGGGGGTGACTCCCAGCATGCCTCCCCTCAGGTCCCGGCAGTTTTCCCGACCTCTTTTGCTCCCGGGCCCAGGCTGATGTCCTCTCCTTGGCCTGCTCACGGAGCACAGAGGTGGGGGACTCGCAAGCAGGGTCTCCCTAACCGGGCCGAGGCCTTGACCCTTCCCAGTGCCCCTGTGGGTCCAAGTCAAGTCTGGAGGAGCTCACCTCTGCTTCTGATCCTTGACCTTGGACATCAGTGGGACTCCAACCTGGGGTGATGGAAGATCCTGGTCTCTGGGGTTCGAATCCAGCCTGGGCGTCTGAATTTACCTAGGACTTCACGTGCATGCTTTTCCTTTCAAAACAAAGTTGAATGTTTTCCCCCTAACTTAACCGAGTGCCCTGGGACGAGGTTGCTTTTCTTGTGGCTCTGAATTTCTGCCCTTTCTATGCTCCTCGAGACTCTCCTAAAAATAGGGTCAGTGTCCCTCACAGATACAGAGCCTTTGGGCTGAAATCCAGCTTATTCAGTAAATATGGAGAAAGAGCATTATCGGGATGCTCTAGTCCCCAAGGAGGAGGGCAGAGAGGGAGCTCTGGGAGGGTCCAGGTGGATTTCCTCAGGGAATGAGTGCTTTCTTCCCTCTCCTCCTTAAAGGTGAAGGACGGAAAGTGATAGAGATGCAGCTCTGTCCTTACCCACTTCTGTTCTCACTTTTTAGGTGTAAGAGGAGGGAAGAAGACATCATGAGAATACGGGCTCATGTTTCTTCTTCTGACTCAGTTGGCCTCTTTATTCTGGATGTCTGTCCTTCCTCATGGTCAAAGAGAGATGTGGCCCCTTGGATGGAGCTCCCATAAGTTTGTCTGGCGGCATGGCGGAACCGGTACTTTTGTTAGTGGTACGAATCTGGCGTTATGCTTAAGAGTTGGATTTGAGGGAAATGGTCACAGTTTTATGACCTCTGCAGGTGACTGAACATCTAAAAGCCTCAGTTTCCCCACATATATAGGGCAGCACATCTACATGATAGGGTTGCTGTGAGGTACACGTGGGAAGAGCTTGGTACAGTGTCTTAGGCTTTGCTGTGACAAATCACTGACCTCAGATTCTGAGTAGCTCAACCCAACAGGCCTGAAGTTCTGTTCTTTTATTTATTTATGTATTTACTTATTTTTGGTTGCGTTAGGTCTTCGTTGCTGCGTGCGGGCTTTCTCTAGTTGCATCAAGCGGGGGCTACTCTTCGTTGCAGTGTGTGGGCTTCTCATTGCATTGGATTCCCTTGTTGCAGAGCACGGGCTCTAGGCACGTGGGCTTCCATAGTTGTGGCTCATGGGCTCAGTAATTGTGGCTCACGGGCTTAGTTGTTCCGCAGCATGTGGGATATTCCCGGATCAGGGATAAAACCCATGTCCCCTGCATTGACAGGCGGATTCTTAACCACTGCGCCACCAGGGAAGTCCTGGATATTCCTATTATTTTATTCTTTTCAAATTTTATTTTCAAAAAATATCTTAAATTTTGATGTCTTTATCACGAGACTTTTAAATATATTTATTGTTCACTTATTGATACATCCTGTCTTTTAATTGCCTTTTCATATCTTAAAGAAGTGACAATAATGTTGATCTTCTCAATGATTTATAAAAGCTGCTAATACATTAAAATTATAAAGTCTTTGTTTCTTATATGTTATAAAGACCTTTTCTTAGTTTTTCTTTAAACTTAGTTGCAATTTTTAATCTGAAACTGAAATGTGTAACTTTCTAAAATAAAAACAGTTTTTAGTTTAATGGTTTCTCTGTTGTTATATGTTTTCCCTATTGATTATATATTTCTAAAATTCACTATGCTTTAAGAATTTTCTTTTGAATTTAAAAATGTTGAATCCAGGTAAAACTCATTTATCCTAATGTGTGAACTAGGAGTTTAACACTAATTGTATTTGAGTGCAGTCACTGGTTGAGCTAACATAGTATATTGAATACTCCCCACCAATCCCAAAGGCCCCTTTACCATTTGGTAAAGTGCTAAATACCCTTTCTCCTAGGCCTGTTCTCTAGCTCATGATCCTTTTGAATTTTTTCCTTATGGTAAAAATGTCAGAAAGATGCGTGCCTAACGGTTCAGCACAGTCATCTCTGGGAGAATGTGTGAGATACTTCCCCCCACCCCACTTCACTTGTGTGAATTTTGACTTACCTTCAATTTTCGTGTATTGAATCTTAAATTTTGCACCCCGTTACTTCTTTTTCTTTCACATTAAAAAAAAATTGCTTGGGGAATTCCCTGGCGGTCCAGTGGTAAGGACTCCAAGCTCTCGCTGCGGTGGGGCGGGTTCCATCCCTGGTAGGGGACCTAACATCCCACAAGCCCGGCAGCAATGCCAAAAAAAAAAAAAAAGAAAAAAAAAATTGCTTGGCTGGGCTAATTTGGTTAACTTTTTCATCTGTGTTCTTAAATCTCTCTAGCTGGCGGCTGCGAGGAGGCCCGTCATCTCCAGGTGGCGGTGATGGTGATGCAGAGCGGTAGGGGCTGGGGTGCTGTGGGGGTGATGTAGGGGCGGGGGCGTGTAGGGGGAGGTGCAGGTGAGGTCGGACTAGGAGAGGTGGGGATGACGGGGGGAGAGACGGGGTTGTGGGAGTTGGGGCGATGTGGGGGGGGGTTGGGGGTGGAGAGGGAAGGGCCCCGCGCAGGCCCCGCCCCACAGTGGGCGGAGCTCGCCGAGGACCTATATCAGCGTCGGGCTCTGTGCGCAGGCGCGCGTCGGTTCTCGGCGGGGCTCCCTGGTGGTCGCGGGCCTGTCTGGCCGCGGCCGCGCGTGGGGCGGGCGGTAGGCCCTGGAGGTCGGCGTCCTGTTCAGCGCGGGCCTCCCGAGGCTGCGAAGAGGGGCGCGGGGCGGAGGCAGAGGCAGAGGCAGCGCCGCCTGGGCCGCGTCCACACTGAATGGAGGGAGACTGGGGGTCCCGAGCGAACGCGCGGGAAGGGCCGCGTTTGTGGGAGAGGCCGCGCTGGCTGCGGGGTCTCCATCCTCGTAATCGCCGAGGCGGCCCGAACGCGGCCCAGAGGACTGAGCGACAGACCCCATCGGGCCTCGCAGCCCGGGGAGGTAAGACTAGCCCCCTGATGCTTCTCGGCGCGGCGTGGCGCGCGTTCCTCGGGCCCGAATACGTAACCGAAGCGTGTGTGCCCGAGGCTTGCGGCGGCGGTGTGCATCCCGGGTTTCCTTAGTTCCCTTAGACTGGTATCCGTCTGGCCCAGCGCTGTCCGGAGCAGCCTCCGGCCGCGACGGAGACGCCCCGCAGCTGTGCCGTCCAGGGGCCGAGGGCACTTAAGCCGCGGCCAGCCCGCCTTTGTCCTCAGCCTTCTCTGCGGTCGTAGAAGTGCGGCCTGAGGTCTCTGGAGCTGCGTGTTCTCAGAGAGGCAGATATGGCACCCGGATGCAGGTTCCCGCTGAAGTGAATTTGTCCCCTAGGCTCTACTGGAACAGAGCATCTCTACTGAGCCGGAAGGAGGGGGACTCCAGGAACGGGAATCTCACAGGGAAGAACCCCCGCTCCCTCTAGCCTCTGACCCAAGACGCATCGGAGCTTCAGAAGAGAAGCGGAAGAAACCCAGAAAAGGAGCGTATCGCCCGGAGGGCGGAGGCTTGAGTGATTTCACCACCATCAGCTGTGAGTCACTTTGGAAGACAGAAGGGAGCTGGGACTGAGTGTGACATGTGGCGGGAGTGGTGGGATGCTGGGGGATTCCGCAGCTGGGAAGCTTTTATCTTTAACCCCACCCCCAATGGCAACCTCCCCTCCCTTCATTCTCCACCAGTTCTTTCCAGAAGCTGGTTTCTGTCGTTCCTGTTCTTAGAGTCAAGAGTAGTAGTTCCCAGACGGTTTGCCAGGATTATCTTTTTTTTTTTTTTTCATTTGACAGAAGGGAAAAAGCCTGAAAGGGGAAATGACTTGTGAAGAATCAGTAAGAGGCACATAGAAGTCCTGGCATGTGCTGTCCACACGATCTCACGGAAACACATTTCCTCTTAAAAAAATCCTTTTGAGGATGTCCCTGGTGGTCCAGTGGGTAAGACTCCATGCTTCCAATGCAGGGGCCCGGGTTCGATCCCTGGTCAGGGAATTAGATCCCGCGTGCATGCTGCAACTAAGAAGTCCACATGCTTCAACTAAAGATCCCCTGTGCTGCAATTAAGACCAGGTGCAGCCATTAAAAAAAAAAAAAAGATAAATATTAAAAAAAAATCCTTTTGAGAAAAAGCAAGTTAGAAGAAACAGTTTTTCTTTTTAAAAAAACAAGTTTAAGGCACCTGTCCCTTTTTTCAAAACTTTATGAGGATTCTCGGACTCAGGGGGTTAACATCTTGGTAGAAAAAGTTACGCAAAATAGCCTTTAGGGTTTTTCCCCCTGCTATATGTTTTAATGAAGGCATCATATTTCATATTTTGAGATGCTATCATATGCTTAATAATTCTGCTTTAAATACTTCTGTGTTAGTGAGAGGGGGACATAAATAGTTAAAGGAGTAGGGAACATTGTGGGTTTAAGGAGTCACAAAGGGGCAGGTGTTAACCTTCCTCTCCTTCTCCAGGATTAAAGGTTACCCAGCTGGCGTGTGGAAGTTTTTAGGAAGAGCGTTGAGGAGCTCTCATCATCCTGTTCCTCTTTCCTCCTCTTCCAGGAATGCCTTCCCAGGTTTTGACAGTCTTCCAAGAACAACAGAAAATGAACAAATCCCAGGTGAAGTATTTCTTTTCTCTATTCCCTATTTCATTTTCCAGTGGATTTCATGGCTTTTTTTAGGGTGTTCATATGTTAAGATGGAAAAGTGGAAATAGATAAAAAGCCACCAAAATGGGATTCATCCTATTCTTCCCACCCCTCACCTCATCCTGGGTAGCATCTAGGCTCTACTACCTTTAAGATGTCATCATTTCTTAAACCTGTGTTTTCTGCTTAATTCTTTCTCCCCTTATCAGAGCTTCATCTTCTCTCCCCTGCACTGTTGGAACAGTTTTTTGCTTCTTTCTCCCCGAGGTTAAGTCTGTCCTCCTGAGGAATCTGAAATGCTATTCAGATGATGCCACTTCAGTATGGAAACCACTTGAATAGCTTCTGGCCCTCCAGAGGGGAAAGGCTGAGTTCTTATCATGAAATTAAGGCTGTTGAGAACAGAACCACTTCTTATTTCTCTTTGTTTTATTAAATATTAAAAAAAATTCTCATATTCTACATTTTATTCAACAGTGATTGATTAGTGTGTGAGGTACTGAACTGTGTGCCACAGACTCTGCTCAAAACGATGTAGAGACCTGGTCCCTTTTTGATGGAGTTCACAGTTTAGAGAAGGTGACATTTAAAGAGTAAACATGTAACAGTGGTCTCCAGTGACCCCAAACCTGACATAACTTCCTGAACACATCCAGTTACCACCCACCTGTGCATCTCACTCACGTCTCTGTCCTGCGGGCTGACCTGGGAGCCCTGTTCCACTTCCTTTCCTGAGTCTCCAGTTCATCTCTCAGGAGCTAACTTGGGGGAGATCTCTTCCAGGAAGCCCTTCTCCTCTTTCTTTGTCCCCCTCTGGATTAATTGCCCTTCCCCTCTGTGCTCCACAATGCCCCTGCTGCCCCTGTCACTGCACTTTGTCCATTGCGTGGAAATTACCTGTTTGTGTCTGTGCTGACAGGCCATTAGCCCTTCAAAGTCCATGTTCATGCCGTGTTCATCTTCATATTTTCCGTTCCTCACCCTGTGCCTTGTTCCTGGTAGGTGCTCATCACGTGTTTGTGGCTGAATAAGCAAATGGTAGGCTTGGGAAGCAAACTCTGCTCTGACTGGATAATCACCCTACCTGAATACAGAGCAGGGCCATCCAGGAGAATTGGGGTCTCCTTTCCCTTCTCTGAATGCTATCTTGGATCATGCAAGGTGGAGTATGTTTGTTATTGTTGCTTTTGTAAGAATTCGTGTTTGTTTGAGCAGTATTAGGTTTACAACAAAGCTGGGCTGAAGGTACAGAGATTTCCCATATACCACCTGCCCCCAGACACCTACAGCCTTCCCCATTATCAACAATCCCCACCAGACGGTACGCTTGTTAAAGTGGATGAACCTACGCTGACACATCATTGTCACCCAAAATCTATAGTTTACATTAGGGTTCACTCTTGGTGGTGCACATTCTGTGGGTTTTGATGAATGTGTCACATGTATTCACCATTATAGTATCATACAGGGTAGTTTCACTGCATTTAAAACTACTCTGTGCGCCACCTGTTCATCCCTCCCTTCCCTCCCTGCCTCCCCTCCCCCCACCAACCACTTCATTGTCTCCATTGTTTTGCCTTTTCCAGAATGTCGTATAGTTGGAATCATACAGTATGTAGCTTTTTCAGATTGGCTTTTTTTGACCTAGTAATATTCATTTAAGATTTCTTCGCTTCTTTTCATGGCTTGATAGCTCATTTTGTTTTAGTGCTGAATAGTATTCCATTGTCTAGATGTACCACAGTTTATCCATTCACCTACTGAAGAACATCTTGGTCGCTTCCAAATTTGGGAAGTTGAGAGTAAGGCTACCATAAGCATCTGTGTGCAGGTTTTTGTGTGGACATAAGTTTTTAACTTCATTGGGTGAATACCAGGGAGCATGATTCCTGGGTTGTACGGTGACAGCATGTTTATCTTTGTAAGCAAACATCAAACTATCTCCCAAAGTAGCTGTGCCATGTTGCATTCCCATCAGCAGTGAATGAGAATTCCTGTTGCTCCACATCCTCACCAGCATTTGGTGTTGTCGGTGTTCTGGATCTTGGGCATTCTAACAGGTGTATAGTGGAATCTCATTGGTGTAATTTGCAGTTCCCTAATGACATGTGATGTGGAGCATCTTTTCATATGCTTATTGTTTGTCATCTGTGTATCTTCTTTGGTAAGCAGTCCCTTAAAGTCTTGGGTTGTTTGTTTTCTTATTGTTGAGTTTTAAGAGTTCTTTGTATATTTTGGATAATAGTCCTTTATCAGATGTGTCTGTTGCAGATATTTTCTCCCAGTTTGTGGCTTGTCTTTCCACTCTCTTGACAGTGTCTTTGACAGAGTGGAAATTTTTCATTTTAATGGAGTACAGCTTATCAGTTCTTTCTTTCATGGATCATGCCCTTGGTGCTGTGTCTAAAAAGTGATTGCTAAACTGAAAGTCATCAGATTTTCTCCTGTGTTATCTTCTAAGACTTTTGTAATTTTGTATTTTAGTTAAGTTTGTGATCAATTTTTAGTTAACTTTTGTGATGGGTGTAAAGTCTGTGTTTAGATTATTTTTTTTGCATGTGGATGTCCAGTTATTCCAGCACCATTTTTTGAAAAGACTGTCTTTGCTCCATCGTATTGTCTTTGTTCCTTTGTCAAAGATCAGTTGACTACATGTATGTGGGTCTATTTCTTGGATCTCCAGTTTGTTTCATTGATCTATTTGTCTATTCTTTCACTGTCTTGATTACTGTAGCTTTACAGTAAGGCTTTAAGTCAGGTAGTGTCCGTCCTCCAACCTTGTTCCTCTCTTTCAATATTGTTTGGCTATTCTGGGTCATTTGCCTTTTTAAAAGTTTAGAACCAGTTTGTTGATATCCACAAAATAATTGACTGGGATTTTGAGATTTCATTGAATCTGTAGATCAGGTTTGGAAGAACTGACATCATGGTAACATTGAGTCTTCCTGTCCACAAACATGTAATATCTCTCCGTTTATTTAGTTCCTCTATTTCTTTCATCAGAGTTTTACAGTTTTCCTCATATACATCTTGTATGTATTTTGTTAGATTTATACATAAGTATTTCATTTGGGGGGTGAGTGAATGTAAATGATACTGTTTTTAATTTCAAATTCCACTTGTTCATTGATGTTATATAGAAAAATGATATATTTTATATATATTTTTTATATATTAACCTTGTGCCCTGCAAAATTGCTATAATCGCTTAGTAGTTTCAGGACTTTTTTGTTGATTCTTTCAGATTTTCTACATAGACGATTTTGTCATCTGACAACAAAGACAGTTTTATTTCTTCCTTCCTAATCAGTATACCTTTTGTTTCCTTTTCTTGTCTTGTTGCGTTAGCTAGGACTTCCAGTACAGTGTTGAAAAGGAGTGGTGAAAGGGGACATCCTTGCCTTGTTCCTTATATTAGTGGGAAAGCTGCTAGTTTCTCACCATTATGTATGATGTTATCTGTAGGCTTTTGTAGATTTCTTTATCAAGTTGAGGAAGTTCCTCTTTGTTCCTGGTTTACTGAGAGTTTATTTATTTATTTTGGCTGTGTTGGGTCTTCATTGCTGTGTGTGGGCTTTCCCTAGGTGCGGCTAGCAGGGGCTACTCTTCGTTGTGGTGCATGGGCTTCTCACTGCGGTGGCTTCTCTTGTTGCGGAGCATGGGCTCTAGGGGCACAGGCTTCAGTAGTTGCAGCATGCAGGCTCAGTAGTTGCGGCACACTGGCCCTAGAGCGCACAGGCTTCTGTAGTTGAGGCGCATGGGCTCAGTAGTTGCGGTGTGTGGGCTCTAGGGCGCGTGGGCTTCAGTAGTTATGGTGCATGGGCTCCAGCAGTTGTGGAGCGTGGGCTCTAGAGCGCAGGCTTAGTAGTTGTGGTGCGCAGGCTTAGTTGCTCCGCGGCATGTGGGATCTTCCTGGACCAGGGTTTGAACCCATGTCCCCTACGTTGGCAAACGGATTCTTTTTTTTTTTTTTTGTGGTATGTGAGCCTCTCACTGTTGTGGCCTCTCCCATTGTGGTGTGTATTTCTTTTTATATTTTGTGAAGGATTTTTGCATCTATATTCATGAGAGATATTTGTCTGTGGTTTTATTATCTTGTAATGTCTTTGTCTTGAGACAAAGAGGTAGGAACTGTTCCCTGTTTCTATTTTCTGAAAGAGATTGTAGATATTTAGTATAATTTCTTTCATAAGTGTTTGGTAGAATTTATGAGTGAACCCATCTAGGCTTGGTTCTTTTTGTTTTGGAAGGTTATTAATTATTGACTCAATTTAAAAATACAGCCTTATTTAGATTGTGTATTTGTTCTTGTGTGAGTTGGGTAGATTGTGACTTTGAACAGATTGGTCCACTTCATCATTGTCAAATTTGTGGGCAGAGAGTTACTCATTATATTTCTTTATTATTTTAATGTCAATGGGATCTGTAGTTATATCCCCACTTTCATTTCTGATATTAGTAATTTGTGTTTTCTCTTTTTCTTAGTCTAGCTAGAGGTTTATTAATTTTATTGATCTTTTCAAAGAATCGGCTTTTGGTTTCATTGATTTTTCTCCATTGATTTCCTATTTTCAGTTTCTTTTGAAATTTCATTTTGATTCTACTCCAGTTTCTATTATTTGTTTTCTTCTGCTTACTTTTGATTTAATTTGTTCTTCATATAGTTTCCTAAGGTGGAATCTTAGATGACTGATTTTATTTATTTATTTATTTGTTGTGGTACACGGGCCTCTCACTGTTGTGGCCTCTCCCGCTGCAGAGCAAGGCTCCAGACACGCAGGCTTAGTGGCCATGGCTCACAGGCCCAGCCGCTCCACGGCATGTGGGATCCTCCCGGACCGGGGCACGAACCCGTGTCCCTTGCATCAGCAGGTGGACTCCCAACCACTGCACCACCAGGGAAGCCCAGATGACTAATTTTAGATCTTTCTTTTTTCTAAATATATGCACTCAATGCTATAAATTTAGTATTGATTTTGCTGCCTCACACAATAAATTGTGTTTTAATTTTCATTTAGTTCAAAATATTTTAAAATTTCTTTTGAGATTTCTTCTTTCACCCATGTGTTACTTAGAAATGTGTTGTTTAATCTTCTTGTATTTTAGAGTTTTTCAGCTATCTTTCTGTTACTGATTTATAGTTTAATTCCATTGTGGTCTGAGAGGTTAGACATTGTATGATTTCTGTTCTTTTAAATTTATTAAGATGTGTTTTATGGCCCAGAATGTGGTCTATCTTGGTGAATATTCCATGTGAATTTGAGAAGAATGTGTATTATGCTTTTGTTGGATGAAGCAGTCTATAGATGTCAATTAGAGCCAATTGACTGATGGTGTTGTTGAGTTCAACTACAGGCAAACCTCAGAGATATTGTGGGTTTGGTTCCAGACCATCCTAGTAAAGCGAATATCATAATGAAATGGGTCACACAAATTTTTCGGTTTTCCAGTGCCTGTAAAAATTATGTTTACAGGGCTTCCCTGGTGGCGCAGTGGTTGAGAGTCTGCCTGCTGATGCAGGGGACACGGGTTCGTGCCCTGGTCCGGGAAGATCCCACATGCCACGGAGTGGCTAGGCCCATGAGCCATGGCCGCTAAGCCTGCGTGTCCAGAGCCTGTGCTCCGCAATGGGAGAGGCCACAACAGTGAGAGGTCCGAGTACCGCAAAAAAAACAAAAAAACATTATGTTTACACTGTACTGTTGTCTGTTAAGTGTGCAATAACATTATGCCTAAAAAAATGCACGTAACTTAATTTAAAAAGTGATGCTGTTAGAAAAATGATGGCAGTAGACTTGCTCAATGCAGGGTTGCCACAAACCTTCAACTTGTATTAAAAAAAAAAAGGCAGTATCTGTGAAGCACAGTAAAATGAGGTTTGTCTTTGTGTCTTTACTGATTTTCTGCCCACCGTTTGTGATAGAGCTGTGTTGAAGTCTCCAACATTAGATTCCATCTGTTTCTCCTCGTAGTTCTATCACTTTTTGCCGACGTATCTGACACTTTGTTGTCAGGTGCATACATGTTAAGGATTGTTGCCTCCTCTTGGAGATTTGGCCCCTTTATCATTATGAATGACTTTATCCTTGATAACTTTTCTTACTTTGAAGTCTGCTATGTCTGAAAATAGTATAGCCACTCCACTCCTGCTTTCTTTTGATTAGTATTATCATGGTGTGTCTTTCTCCATCCATGTACATGGTGGGGAGGGGTGTTCAAACTCTTATCTTTAATGGAGTTCCCCCCACTCCCCCAGTTTTTTTGTTGTGGTAAAATACACATATAAAATTTATCATTTTTAGATAACTAATAAGGACCTACTGTGTAGCACAGGGAACTCTACTCAATACTCTGTAATGGTCTACGTAGGAAAAGAATCTAAAAAAGAGTGGATACATGTATATGCATAATTGATACACTTTGCTATACACCTGAAACTAACACAACATTGTAAATCAACTATACTCCAAAAAATAAAAAAAAATCACTTTAACCATTTTAAGTATTCAGTAGTGTTAAATAAGTACATTTATAATGTTGTGCAACCGTCACTACCACCCATCCACATGACTCTTTATCTTATAAAGTTAAAACTCTGTACCCATTAAACGATAACTTCACATTCCTTCCTCCTTCTAGCCCCTGGCAACCATCATTATATTCTCTGTCTCTGTGATTTTGACTATTCTAAGTACCTCATATAAATGGTTTTATGTAGTATTTGTCCTTTTGTGCTTGTCTTATTTCACTTAGCATAATGTCCTCAAGGTTCATCCATGTTGTGGCATATGTGAAAATTTCCTTTCTATTGTATATACATATCACATTTGCTTATTTATTCGTCAGTGAACACTTGGGTTGCTTTCACATTTTAGTTAATGTGAGTAATGCTGCTATGGACATGGGTGTATAGATATTTCTTTTTTTAAAAAAAATTATTTATTTATTTATTTTTGGCTGTGTTGGGTCTTCGTTTCTGTGTGTGGGCTTTCTATAGTTGTGGCAAGCGGGGGCCACTCTTCATTGCAGTGTGCGGGCCTGTCACTGTCGCGGCTTCTATTGTTGCGGAGCACAAGCTCCAGACGCGCAGGCTCAGTAGTTGTGGCTCACAGGCCTAGTTGCTCTGCGGCATGTGGGATCTTCCCAGACCAGGGCTCGAACCCGTGTCCCCTGCATTGGCAGGCAGATTCTCAACCACTGCGCCACCAGGGAAGCCCCAGATATTTCTTTAAGATCCTGCTTTCTGTTCTTTTGGGTATATACCCAGAAGTGGAATTGCTTGGTCATATGGTAATTCCGTTTTTAATTTTTTAAGGAACTGCCACACCCTTTTCTGTAACAGCTGTACTGTTTCACATCCCCACCAACAGTGCACAAGAGTTCCCATGGCTACACATCCTCTCCAGCACTTGTTATTTTGTAGTGGTGGTTGTGTTTTGTTGTGTTTTTTGTTTTCATAGTAGCCGTCCTAATGGGTGTGAGGTGATATTTCATTGTAGTTTTAATTCACATTCCACTAATGATCAGTGATATTGAGCATCTTTTCATGTGCTTATTGGCTATTTGTGTATTCTCTTTGGAGCAATGTCCAGGTCCTTTGTCCATTTTGAATTGGATGTTCGGGGAGTTTTTGGTGTTTAGTTTTAGGGGTTCTTTATATATTCTGGATATTAATCCCTTAACAGACATAATGATTTGCAGATATTTACTCCCATTCTGTGGGTTGCATTTTACTCTGTTGATAGTATCTTTTTTTTTTTTTTTTTTTTTTGCGGTACGCGGGTCTCTCACTGTTGTGGCCTCTCCCATTGCGGAGCACAGGCTCCGGACGCACAGGCTCAGCGGCCATGGCTCACAGGCCCAGCCGCTCTGCGGCATGTGGGATCTTCCCAGACCCGGGCACAAACCCGTGTCCCCTGCATCAGCAGGCGGACTCTTAACCACTGTGCCACCAGGGAAGCCCTGATAGTGTCTTTTGATGCAGAACATTTTTAGTTTTCAGGGAGTCCAGTTTGTCTGTTTTTTCTTTTGTTCCCTGTGCCTTTGGTGTCATATCCAAGAAATCATAGCCAGATACTGAGTCATGAAGCGTTTGCCCTGTTTTCTTCTAAAAGTTTTATAGTTTTAAGTCTTACATTTAGGTCTTTGATCCATTTTGAGTTAATTTTTTTATTTGAGGTTAAGTAAAGATCCAACTTTATTCTTCTGCATGTGGATATTCAGTATTCCCAGTACCATTTGCTGAAATGACTATCTTTTCCCCATTGGGTGGTCTTGACAACCTTGTCAAAAAGCATTTGAGCATAAATTTGAGGGTTTATTTCTGGGCTATTTTATTCCTTTTGTCTGTTTGTTTTTATGCCAGTACCACACCATTTTTAGTACCGTAGCTTTGTAGTATTATAAGGGATATTGGTCTGTAGTTTTCTTGCAACATCTATGTCTGGCTTTGTTATAAGGGTGATGCTGGCCTCATAGAATGAGTTAGGAAGCATTCGCTCTTCTTCAATTTTTTGGAAAAGTTTGAGAAGGATTTGTATTAGCTCTACTTTCTTTCTTTGGCTGTGCTGCACAGCATGTGGAATCTTTGTTCCCTGACCAGGGATCAAACCCATGCCCCCTGCAGTGGAAGCGTGGAGTCTTAACCACTGGACTGCCAGGGAAGTCCCAGTATTAGCTTTTCTTTCTTTCTTTCTTTTTTTGCGGTACGCGGGCCTCTCACTGTTGTGGCCTCTCCCGTTGCGGAACAGAGGCTCCGGGAATGCAGGCCTAGTGACCGTGGCTCATGGGCCTAGCCGCTCCACGGCATGTGGGATATTCCCAGACCAGGGCACAAACCCGTATCCCCTGCATCGGCAGGCAGACTCTCAACCACTGCGCCACCAGGGAAGCCCAGCTTTTCTTTAAATGTTTGGTAAAATGAACCAGTGAAGCCATGGTCCAGGACTTTTATTTGTCGGGATGTTTTTGGTTACTGACCCAATTTCCACACTAGTTATAGGTGTATTCAGTGTGCCTATTTTCTTCATGATTTAGTCTTGGTAGATTTTATGTTTCTAAAAATTTTTCCATTTCATCTTGGTAATCCAATTTATTGTACAGTTGTTCATAGTACTCTCCCATAATCCTTTTTACTTCAGCAGAATCGGTAGTAACGTTCATATCTTCATTTCTGATTTTAGTAATTTGAGTCTTTCCTTTTTTTTTCTTATTCCATCTAGGTAAAAGTTTGTCAAATTTGTTCATCTTTTTTAAAAAACAGTTTTTGGTTTCATTTTCTCTGTTTTTCTATTTTGTTTACATCTGCTCTAATCTTTATTATTTTCTTCTTTCTGCTAGCTTTGGGTTTAATTTGTTCTTTTTCTAGTTCCTTAAATTGTAATGTTTGGTTGTTGATTTGAGATCTTCCTTGCTGCTGTTTAATGTAAACGTTACAGCTACCATGGTGATTGCATGTGTGTCTTCACCAGCTCCTCATTTCTTCAGTGGTCACACCTCCCACCTGTGGAGGCACAAGATATCCCAGTGCTTTCTTCTCCATTGGGAGGAAAACAGGTTGATTACATTTAAACTTTTAATGAGGAAAAAAAAGATAAATTAAGCTTATTATCATGTGGATTAGCAGAATGTATATAGTACTTATTAAAAATAAATAAATTGGGGGTGCTCAAAACTTTACTGCCAGGATGGTGATGAAGTATTTTGGAGACCACTCAACTACACGGATGAGTCCAGAATTACTGCACAATGTGCTGCTGAACACCTTTGCAGTTCTTCCTCTTCTCGTGGCCCTGCCCTGTTCCCCTGTTCCTGTCATACTGCTGTGTGTTTTTCATACCTCTTTGACTTTGTGTATGTGCTTGCACCACATTAATGAAGATCTGCTATTGTGAATCCCGACCTGACAATACAAAAGTCATATCTCCTACATTATATAACACTGATTCTAGCATAGCTCTAATAATACCTTATTACACGATAAGTATTCATAGGTATGATTTTTCTCCTTACCAAGATTTAAGCTTTTTTTTTTTTTTTAAAACATCTTTATTGGAGTATAATTGCGTTACAATGGTGTGTTAGTTTCTGCTTTGTAACAAAGTGAATCAACAGAGAAGAAACTCAAAGCACAGAGACGCTGAGTGATTAACAATGTGATTATTCGCAATGCACGGCAGCTGAAAATTTCCTTTAACTTGTTTTAGGTTGTGCTCTGGCATGAGAGGCTGACTCATGTTTAGCCCGTCTCCCCAGATTTAAGCTTCTTAAAGGCCAAATAAAAATGATTGATTTAGGGGCTTCCCTGGTGGCACAGTGGTTGAGAGTCTGCCTGCCGATGCAGGGGACACAGGTTCGTGACCCGGTCTGGGAAGATCCCACATGCTGTGGAGCGGCTGGGCCTGTGAGCCATGGCCACTGAGCCTGTGCGTCCGGAGCCTGTGCTCTGCAATGGGAGAGGCCACAATAGTGAGAGGCCCGCGTACCGCAAACAAAAACAAAAAAGATTGATTTAGGTCAATATTCTTGGCAAGCTAGGATAGTTTCAGACACATGGTAGAAACTTCAGTTTTTTTTTGTTTGAATTAATAAGTTAATCTACAATCTGGATTTTCCTATTATGATATCACTTTATCCCACAAAGTAAACCACAAAACAAGGTATAGAATAGGCAGCCTATATAATATTTATGGTAAACTCTCAAAATCAACATGTTAAGAATTATTTCCCATCTCTCTCACATCACCCAATACTGATCTCTTTGGCTTGAACAGAAGTGTGCTGGCCAGGGATCCGTGTCATTCAAGGACGTGCCTGTGGACTTCACCTGGGATGAGAGGCTACAGCTGACCTGCATGCGGAGGACCCTGTACCGGGATGTGATGCTGGTCTCCGTGGGTGAGGCGTCTTCCCTGTGTAGCGCCTCAGCGTGTGCATTGTTTCTTAGCCGCCAAAGCTTACGAGCCCTTGGCGGAGCTTTATGATATCTGCACACCTCACGGGTCAGAAATGAGTGCTGCTATTGAGCACAGAAAGAAGGCTTCTGTTCTCACGTCCCTAAATAAAGGTTCAAATGGGCACCATTATCATGTGACTCCTGAACCGGCACCTTCATTGTCCTTCAGGGCCCCCGATGTCCAAGCAACTTGTCTGAAATCTTAACCCTGTATCTCACTCACAGGGTACTGCGTCAGCAAACCAGAGGTGATCTTCAAGCTAGAGCAAGGAGAAGAGCCATGGCCATTAGAGAGAGCATTTCCATGCCGGAGTGATCCAGGTGAGTTAGTCATTATCAGGTGAAAAAAAAGAAGCCACTGGAAAAGCAGACCCAGATGGATTGGTCCAGAAGTTGAGACCTTTGGTGTCTGTCTCAGTACTTCTATGTAGGGGCTTCAGACCTTGGGAAGTAACTGAACGGCGAGCCAGCCTGCCTCAGATAACCTGAACCACATTTCCATCCACCACTCTTAAGTACCAGCGCTTTCCTCTCTGGCCTGACTTTTAGGGAAGGTGACCATTCTGTGCCCAGTGTTGACCCCCTGCCTGCCTCCTGACCTTTGTTCCTGGTTTCTCCTTTCTAGTATTCATCTTCTCTCCATTTTCATGGACTATTTTCTTTTCAGTTTTCCCCACAGGCATTTATTAATTCATTCTGCAGATATTTTTACTCTGTGCCACCCTCGCTCCTGGTGTCGGGGATACACCAATGAACAAACACTGTTCCTGAGCTCCTATAGCTTACAAGCTAGCAGGAGGAGGAGACGTGAATAAATAAGTTTACACATCCAGTGGTGACGAGAATGGTGAAAAGAACTAAAACAGGAGATAGAGAGCGGGGTGTGCTCTTGTAAAAGGTGGTTGGAGAATGCCTTTCTGATGATGTCAGCATTAGAGCAGATAAAGAAGGAAGGAGGTGAGTCATGTGGCTCCTGGGGGTTCCAGGCGAAGGAACAGCCACAGGGCCAAGTTCCTGCGGCAGGAGTTTGTTGGAAGTGCTCTGAGGAAAACAGGGAGGCCAGAGTGGTGGCAGGGGAGCACCTGAGAGGGATGCTGGTGGGAGGTGACATCAGACAGGTAGCCAGGGGCCAAATGATGTGTTACAGGACACGGCGAGGGCTTTGACTTCATTTGGGGCGAGTTGTGTAGCTATTACTGGATTTCTGCAAAAGAGTATGTTTTAAAAGAATTTCTTTGCTACTATGCAGAGGAAATTGGGGACGGGGACAAGGGTGGTGGACAAAGTAAAAGCATAAAGACAGTGTGAAATGCTGGCTCCTGAAATACTGACCACCACCATTGTGAAGGCTAATCTTAATTTATTGCTCACCCTGACAGTCTTCGTAGCATCTTGGAAAAGAGTGAACAAAGGTTATTTATGAGATTTGAGGGTATAGTTTAAAGTATATTTTTTTAATTCAGGGGCTTAATAACCTTTGGGTAAGAATTATGATTTAACAGTTTAGGATTTGTGGACAGGTCTTGGAGAATAAGTAGTATAGTATCTATGGGAAAGGTGAGAAGTTTGTTTAAAAGGGTTTTGAGGAAGCTTCTGAAATGAACAGTAAGGTCATTTGCAACTTTTATTTTCCTGGGCATGAGTTTCATGGGGCAGGAAAGTCTGCCGGTAACACAGTAGAACAGTAGACATGGTAATGCAGAGAGTAAGCTGTGTGGATGTTGACGGTTTCAGCTCTCGACAGCAAAGAGGTGTTTGCAGTGGCTCAGATGTGAAGTGAGGGAGGGGGTAGATGTGATGAAATGTGGCTCCATGTTGGGAGAGTAGGATTTGCTGTTGGGTAGGATGTGGAGTGAGAGAACGGGGTGGGGAGCCGAGGATGACCTCAGTATTTAGTCTGAGCAACCTGCTGGGGTGGGAAGTGTTCACTGAGATGGGAAAAGTGGGGAGGAGCAGTTCGGGGCAAATTTTTTAAGAAGTGACTTTGAGAAGCGTCAGTGACTTGAGATGATTATTCAAATTTAGATGTTGATAAGGCCCTTGGACATACAGATCTGGAGTTGGAGAACAGACAGGAGTGCAGATTAAATTTGAAAGTCATGAGTTGAAAGGTGGTATGCAGACATAACTGGGCCTTGGGCAGTGGATGTGGATAGACAGGAAAAGAGGCTGCAACCCACAGCCTTACAACACGTAGGAGTCACAAGCGTAACAGAGAAGAAAACCCAGAGAGATGTCTGGAGGGCAAGAAAGGTGCTTGTCAAGAAGGACACAATGAATTTCTAGTTTGAAATTGGAAATATGAAGTCAGCGTTTTCCCCCTTCGTTCCTGTAAACCATCTAAAACCAACTAGGAGATTGAGAAATGAGTTGCAGACTGGTATTTTGTATAAATCTGAGAAATAGCTAAACTTGAAACCATGACATAAGGGGAAGAACTGTTGAAAGCAATAAAAAATCAAGCTGGGTACAGGCACCTGGAATTGGAACCAGAGAGAGACCTCCAGGGCTGCTGACCTCAGAAAGAAATGCAAGGTGACTAACCCTTGGTAAAACATCAGGAAGGGACTGAACAAGATTGTGGCAGGAACTTCCTTGTTACCTGCTTTGGTTCTGAGAAGCAGAGAAGTGGGATTCAGGGTGGAATCACACACATAACCCTTAACTGTGTAAAGTATTGGTCTTTGTAGCATTTGGGGGATAAACAAGACTTTGCACGTGAAAATGCCCATAGGTTTTCAGAGAGAAATAAAAAATAATCAAATACAATGTTAAGTCCTTGGTCCTAAGCAGCCAGTGCAGGATGCATGGATGTTTTCCTAAGAAAAAAAAAAAGGGAGAAAGAGAAAAAAAGAAAAGGCAAAAAAAAAAAAAAAAAAAAATTAGTAAGTGAAGAACACGCACCTGAAAAATATTGTCATAGAAGAGAGAAATATTGTGACCAAGTATCTCACTATGAATGTTTCACAGCTTAATGAAGCAATTGCTTTTATGATTCAAAAGCACAAGGAACCATATATAAGCACTGGGGGAGAGATGAAGAGACACAGGAGATTGTCTGAAAGCTTCCAGTGCTCAGGAATGAACTGGAAGAAGAAACATCCTGACAGTAAAAATGTGTAGAATTGGAAGGAGCACAAAGAGCTGAAAACATAGTGAGGGGCCTGGAAGAGAGGAGCACAGGAAGTGAGCAGATGGAATGGGAATCGGGGCACAGTTAAAGGGGTCACATGTGGAAGACTGGAAAAGGAGGTTCAGCATGCACACCATCCAGTCCCCCATGTGGAAAGCCAGAGATAATTGAATAGAACAAATACTTAGAGATACATTTCAAAGAAGCTTCCTGGTATGAAAGAAGACTGGAGTCTACATGAAAAGGACTAACTTATGGGAAACTAACTCAGAACTGTCACCACCATGGTGTATCCTAGGGAAGTTACTAGATTTTTAAAGAAAGAAAGGTTCTTTTTGGTCTGCAAAACCAAAGAATTAAGTCATTTAAAACTTTGTTGAGGAATATTGACAAATATAATTGTATATATTTAAAACGTACAGTGTGACGATTTGATGTACATATATTGTAGAATGGTTACCAATATTAAGATAATTAACACATCCATCACCTTACGTAGTTAACAGGTAATTTGTATGTGTGGGTTTTTTTTGGGGGGGGTGAGAATGATTCAGATATATTTGCAACAGCGTTCAAGGGTACAATACCATATTATTAACTATAGTCACCATGCTCTACATTAGATCCCCAGCACTTGAATTAAGTCTTTTTTCTTTTAAATTCTGGCTGTGCTGCTTGGCTTGCAGGATCTCAGTTCCCTGACCAGGGTTTGAACCTGGGCCACAACAGCAAAAGCACTGAATCCTAACCACCAGGCCACCAGGGAACTCCCCAGTCATTTTTAAGGGGGAGAAAAAAAATCAAGTTGATCTCAGACGTCCATAATAACATCCAGTGCTTTTAAAAGCAGTGGAGAAAGAATTACAAAATCCTTAAGAACTAAAAGTAAATCCCAATAATTTTATATGTAGACAAAATGTTATTCAGCTAAAGTAACAACAGTAAGTTTGAACATGCAAGAATGCAGGGAAATATTGTTTTCGTGAATTCTTTGTAAAGAATTTTCTAGAACATGAACTTTAATCAAGAAATGGTAAAGTATAAAATAGCAGAAGATTGTTTTTGAGTGCTATTTAAGTGAGAACTAAGTCTAAAACTGAAGTGGGGATTGATTATCAGGATAGAATTAAAACATAAAGGACTTTAGATTTTAGGATTATTAGATATAAAATTTTAAAATTTGTGTGGAATAGCCACGTCCCAAAATAAACAAAGCAGTTTAGAAGGCTAAGAAAAACTAGGGGGAGCTTGCCCTTTCAAATTCAGTGCTAGCTATTGGCTGTAGTGTGATATTAATGTAAGAATAAACGGATCAGGGGGCTTCCCTGGTGGCACAGTGGTTGAGAATCTGCCTGCTAATGCAGGGGACACAGGTTCGCGCCCTGGTCTGGGAGGATCCCACATGCCGCGGAGCAACTAAGCCCGTGAGCCACAACTACTGAGCCTGCGCGTCTGGAGCCTGTGCTCCACAACAAGAGAGGCTGTGATAGCGAGAGGTCCGCGCACTGCGATGAAGAGTGTCCCCCACTTGCCACAACTAGAGAAAGCCCTTGCACAGAAACGAAGACCCAACACAGCCAAAAATAAATAAATTAAAAAAAATTAAAATAAATTAAAAAAAAAAAATCAGAACATTTCCCAGCTGTGGTCAGAGGAAGTCCTGACTACTGAATAAAGGCACAGAGAGATGCAACATCGGTGCCTTTGAAGATGGGAGAATGAGGCTAAGAGCCAGGGAAGGCAGGGCTTAAAAAAAAAAAAAAAAAAAAAAAGAATAATAAATGGATCAGAAGATTCCAGAACTAGCTCCACGCATATGGAAATCAGATATGTGAGAAACAGACAAAGGGGAGGTAATTCAATAAGTGCTGTTGAGAAAATTATTCATATGGAGAAAACATTTGTCTTTTACCATTATACAGAAATCAATTTAAAAGTAAAATATATAAAACTTCTAGAAGAAAGTATAGTGGAATATGTTTATAACTATATAAAAGGGGAATATATGTACGCTCTTGATATATATGTATCATCTATGTACAATCCTTATAAAAGGGTTCTCAAACAGCACAAAAATACTGTTTTAGAAGAAAAAAATAGATTAAGAACATTCACTCATTACAAAACACCATAAAAATTCAAAATTCATGGCATAGAGTGAGAGAAGTTATTTGTAACATATATAACCAGCAAAGGCTTAATATCCAAAATACATTCATGGCTTTTCTCAAACAGAAATTTAAATAAGACATTATACATTATTCATTTTAATTTCTGCTTCCTCCCACTGGAATGTAAACTTCATGAGAACAGGGTTTGTTTTCTTTCATGTCTGTGTTTCCACTGTCTAGGATAGTGCCAGCCACAGTTTAGCATTCAATAAAAGTTTGCTGAATAATGAACTCCTACAATTCATAAGAAAAAGTCAAACAACCCAACAGAGAAGTGGACAAAAGACATACATGAAAAGGAAACACAAGTGGGAAACAAAACCACAAATGATAAATGAGAATATCTACAACTTCATTCGTAATAAGAGAAGTAAAAAGTATGACAGTGAAATAGCATTTTCTGTGCTCAAATTTGGCAAAAATTAAGACGTCTTTCAATAGCAAGCAGTTTTGATCACATGATCACTCTGCTGGGAAGAGTTTGTCAAGAACTAGGTCTTACAATGTCCCTTCCCCGTACCTCATCTGTTCCTAAGAGTTAAGGTTTTCACTTTACCCAGTGACTGAAAAATTCCCACGTCCTCTATCTCCGCCTCGTCTGCCCTCTACTCTCTGCTTTACCTGAGGTGTTCTAGTCTTTTCATTGTCAGTGTGGCAGAAACTAACCCTAAAATCATTTCTTCCAAATTGTAAATCTTCTCACGTTCCTTATTTCCACTTACTTGGGTTCTAATCCTTTTCTTCTTCCGTATCTGACAACCATGAAAAGTACCTGTAATACTGATCTGTCCATAGTTCCTCTTATTTTTAATTTTCTTTTGAAAACTGTCTTCTATAGCTTTTATTCTTACCTTCCAGTGACCTTACTTAAAACCAGAACCTTATTCTCTGATGCCTTATTTCATTCCTAACTGTAAGTATATACTTTTAAATCTAAAGCATCTGTTTCGTCTTGTTGCTGGCCTTATATAATCCTAGGGTTGTCCTCTATTACTTAAGATACCTTTTCTTAAACATATCAGTCCATATTCATCCTTTTTTGTTGATGTTACTCAAAAACTCATGGTAAGTTCCATATGATCCTCCTTCTAAATACTGCTCATACATCTTACCCACATCTGCACCTCTTCTTGAGGTTTGCCTGTCCAGATCCTTAAGAAAGGGCTTAGGACTGTGCCTGGCATGTAGTTAATGCTTGTTGTGCATATTTTACACTTAGTTTATGTTTGAGCTCAAGTACTCACCTCTGTTTTGAAGTGCTTCTTACTCTCTCCCCTCTTAGAATTCCCATTTCACTTAGCAGCTGAGCCATAAGGATTTCAGACCTCATCATATACTGTGACACCTGAGAGCATCTGGTTATTGCTGAGGCCTTTGTCCCCATCTGGGGGGTGTCTTTTTTTTTTTTTTTAACTCTTCCTTAATTTGATGTATAGTATATAATAGATATGCTCATCTATTAATGCTGATAGATACGTTTATTCGGAAAGCATTTCCTAAGTACAGAGGCCTACATCACTTACCTGTAGATTCTGATTCATAGGGTACATGGATTGACATGGGGCTATGACAGTCTATACTCCATGTTTTGTTATTTTTTTTTATAAATTTGTTTTTATTTATTTGTTTATTTTTGGCTGCACTGGGTCTTCGTTGCTGTGCGCGGGCTTTCTCTAGTTGCGATGAGCGGGGGCTACTCTTTGTTGCGGTGTGTGGGCTTCTCATTGTGGTGGCTTCTCTTGTTGCGGAGCGTGGGCTCTAGGCGCATGGGCTCAGTAGTTGTGGCTCACGGGCTCTAGAGCACAGGCTCAGCAGATGATTGTAGACCAGTGGTTGGTCTGTTTTGACCTTGGAGCTGCAGGCAGCTTGATTACATTGTCTTATTTGCCTTCTCTGTCCTGACTCACAGGTTGTAAGTACTCTGGTTCTTTCCAGATTTTTATTTGTATAGCTCACATTTTACACTTGTGCTAATTAACTAAAGTGGCATTTTAATTGTTCTTGCTTTGTAACACTTCTCCAGGTCCCTCTTCATTTCTATTTTTCAAGACTTTCTTGGCTTTTCCCACATTAATTCTTAGAGGCGACCTTTAGAACGGATTTACCAGGCTCCTCTCCAGAGCTTTTCGGGATTCTGATTGAATTTAAATTTAGTCTAAAGTAGCTGCCTACTGAGTGGCACTCCTAATCCCACTGGCTGGACCACTTCCCCCCAACCAGAGGCAGGGCTCAGAGACGGTTTCTGTTGGTCTTTTTCCTGTGAGTGGGCCATACTTTCTTTGCATGTTTTGTAATTTTTTGCTGAAAACTAGACATTTTAGATAACGTGGGAACTCTGGAAATCAGATTCTCCCCCTGCCCCAGGGATTTTTTGTTGTGGGTTCTTGTCGTTTGCGTCCTTATTGACTTTTCTAAGCTATTTTTATAAGTCTATATCCTTCATCATGTGTGGCCACTTAACTCTTTTTAGTTTTTGTTTTATACCGGACTATAGTTGATTTACAATGTCATGTTAGTTTCTGGTGTACAGCAAAGTGATTCATAAAGACTCATAAAGAATATATGTATTCTTTTTCATATTCTTTTCCATTGTGATTTATTACAAGTCATTGAATATAGTTCCCTGTGCTATACAATAGGTCCTTGTTGGTTATCTATCTTATATTTAGTAGTGTGTATATGTTAATCCCAAACTCCTAATTTATCCCTCCCCCTACCTTTCCCCTTTGGTAACCATAAGTTTGTTTTGAAGTCTGTGAATCTGTTTGTTTTGTAAATAAGCTCGTTTGTATCATTTTTTTTAGATTCCACATATAAGTGATATCATATTTGTCTTTGTCTGACTTAGTATGATAATCTCTAGGTCCATCCATGTCGCTACGAATAGTGTTATTTCATTCTTTGTGTCTGGGTAATATTCCATTATATATATGTACCACGTTTTCTTTATCCATTCCTCTGTTGATGGGCATTTAGGTTGCTTCCATGCCTTGGCTATTGTAAATACTGCTGCTATGAACATTGGGGTGCATTTATCTTTTTGAATTATGGTTTTCTCTGGATATATGCCCAGGAGTGAGATTGCTGGATCATACGGTAGTTCTATTTTTAGTTCCTTAAGGAACCTCTATACTGTTCTCCATAGTGGCTGCACCAATTTACATTCCCACCAACAGTGCAGGAGGGTTCTCTTTTCTCCACACCCTCTCCAGCATTTATTGTTTATAGACTTTTTGGTGATGGCCAGTCTGATTACTGTGAGGTGATAACCTCATTGTAGTTTTGATTTGCATTTTCTAATAATTAGCAATGCTGAGCATCTTTTAATGTGCTTTTTGGCCATCTGTATGTCTTCTGTGGAGCAATGTCTATTTAGATCTTCTGCCCATTTTTTGATTGGGTTATTTTGATACTGAGCTGCATGAGCTGTTTGTATATTTTGGAGACTAATTCCTTGTCAGTGGCTTTATTTACAAATATTTTTTTCCCCATCTGTGGGTTGACTTTTTGTTGTTTATCATTTCCTTTATTGTGCAAAAGCTTTTAAGTTTAATTAGGTCCCATTTGGTTTTTTGTTTTTATTTTCGTTATTCTAGGAGGTGGATCCAAAAAGATACTGCTGCGATTTATGTCGAAGAGTGTTCTCTGCCTATGTTTTCCCTCTAAGAGTTCTATAGTGTCTGGCCTTACTTACACTTAGGTCTTTAATCCATTTTAAGTTTTTGTGTATGGTATTAGAGAATGTTCTGATTTCATTCTTTTACATGTAGTTGTCCATTTTTCCCAGCACCACTTATTGAAGAGACTGTCTTCTCGTATATTCTTGCCTCCTTTGTCGTAAATTAGGTGACCATAGGTGCGTGGGTTTATTTCTGGGTTTTCTATCCTGTTCCATTGTTCTATGTTTGTTTTTTTTTCAGTACCATACTGTTTTGATTAGCTTTGTCAGGGCACCTGATTCCTCCAGCTCCGTTTTTCTTTCTCAGGATTACTTTGGATATTTGGGGTCTTTTGTGTTGATAGGGATTGCATTGAATCTGTATATTGTGTGGCCACTTAATTCTGTTCCATTAGCTTCCAGAGGTCAGCTGTGTTTTGTCAGCTTCTGTAAACACCTGGAGCCAAAAAAAGGGGACATTCCCCCAGTTTTGCAGGCTGGCTGTGTTGGGCACTCCTTCAGCGCTTAGCCAGGCTGGTTCCACTCTGCCTTAGCCTTCACTTCCAGCTTACATGGAGCCTGCAGGCCAGTCCAGGTGAGAGCATAGGGACTTTTCAGGTCTTTTCTCAGCTGTGTCTCACCTGGGCACACACGATGTGCACTAGGAAGCTTTTCAAAAGCTCGTATTGCCACACACAACTCCATTTTCCAACCTGTCCCTTCCCAGGCTTCTCAATACGTCTGCTGCTCACTTTGACTGTCATCCTGCCCACCAGGTTGCTGCCTCCACCCCCAGGACTTGTGCCTTTAAATGCCTTTGGCACCAGCCCTCTGGGAAGACTGTTCTGAGTCAAGGAAACAACAAAGGGACGCCCTGTTACTGACTTACAGACAGCAGCCCACAGGTGAGGCCCACAAGCACAGCCCTGTGGGGTAAGGTCTCATTCTTGCCCTGCCCCCAGCAACCTGTGCCTGGGGCTCAGGCTGCCAGCAATCGGGCTGGTGACCAGAGATGTGGGGGACAGTGGGTGGGCAGCTTTCTCATTGCAAAGTGTTGCCCTTATCAAGCTTCCTTGGTGGTTCTAAGTCCCAGACTAGATTCTAGAGTTTTGCCAACGTTGCCAGCTCATTAATTGTTCATGTTGGGGGAGGGGGACAGATTTCTCTACTCTGCCATTTTTGGTGAAATCACTTCTCGTCAGTTTTCGAGCACTTCCTGATTGCTAATACAAATGACTGTTCTACACTTAATTTTCCTAATCAGCATTGCAATAAGCTTTTACTCTTAAGAGCTCTGGTTCCATTTAGCGGAGAATAATTACAAACCAAGATCTGGGTGAACATTTTTCTTTTTCTTTGGGGGGAGGGGCGGGCGCACACATTTTTCTGAAGGTAAAATACTGCATATTTAATTAGGAATTTAATACTATTACAGTGTGCTAGTATTTATTAGGATTCTGTTGATTCCATGAATAATCTTGTTGAAAAAATTATTGTTGAAAAGATTTTGAGTGGGCTGCCTTTTACTTTCTAAGACTCACTCTTGTATTTCATCATTAGTGTACCACTAAGTTTTGGAGGAAGGCATAGGTTGCATTTTAGAAGACATGACTGCAGTTCATTTTTTATTGGCTAATTCTGTGTGTCAGATTGGCTGCCAAGCAAAGTGGCTGAACCAAGAGATTGAAATCTCATGTACAATTCCAAACAGGGGGTCCAGGGAGGTAGGGGACCCTCCTCATCCCGTTCCATGGTGTTATCCAGAGAAGTTTCCCTTCAACGTATTACTTTTCCATCCCCTAAGCAGGAGTTGGCAAAATATGGATCATAGGCCAAATTTGGCCTACTGCCTCTTTTTTGTACAGCATAAACCAAGAATGGTTTTTATATGTTTTAGAATAATAAGTTCTATCAAACACAGCCCAAGCAAGGGAAGGAAGAAAGGCAGTGAAGAACCAACTTTTAAGAATGTGACTCTTTTAAGAATGTGACTCAGAGGATGACACAGATTTCCCTAATGGGCTCCAACATAATCACCTGGCTACACCTACCTAAAAGGTAAGTTGAGAAGTCAAATCTCCAGTGATGTGCCAGTTGAAACTGAAGGGGGAATCTCTTTCATAAACAAAGCAGGGTAACACTGTAGTACAGTCAGCAGCCCAGTTTATTACACTGAGTTCTACAAAGTGATGCAGACACTCACATGTATAACTCTTTCATCATAAGAACGTTTACAAGCAGCTGTGCCATTTTCCTGAAAGTTGGCTTGGGTAGAAGTTGCCAGAAAAGGCACAGGAGGCACCATTTAGGTACCTAAGCTATAAAATTCTGGCTAAAACTGAACAGAATAAAACATTATTGGGGATTTTAATTAGGGGCCTTTACTTTTCCTGTGTGCATGTTTTCATATTTCTGGAGGAGTCCTGGGCAGTGTTAACAGTGTACTACTCAGTTAAAAACATACTTATTGTCAGCATTGGTTTCTGTGTGGACCCCACTGTTTCTTCATGCCAAACCCCAATTCCATCCCTTCCCCCACAGGTACTCACACTGATGAAGGTATGACCTTAAGCACATACTACTGTAGCCTCTATGAGGGTGTGTGTGTAACTTTGATGTAAACATTTTTTAGTTGCACGAAATCTCATTCCATCCATTTTTCTTTCATTCATATCTAAAAGGGTTAATCAGCTGTGCTACAACAAAGCACACACTGCTAACTGCTGGACACCACCCCACTGCTTGATCCACATTTTACTCACCTCTTCTAATGACAGTCACCTAGGATATCTCAAAAGTCCTGCTGTGGTGAAATTCCCTGTATATACATCCTCCTGTGTATAGAAGTTCTCTGGGATCTATCAACAGATTGGGGTACTACTGCATGATAAAGCACACATATTATTGAATTTAAAAGGTATTTCCAGGTTAGTTTCCCAGATGCCTGTATCATTTTTCATATTTCCACAGTATACAAACATACCAATACATCCTTACCAGTATCTATCCATACAACTTTCTTTGGGGCGCTAGAGTGGACAGCCCAGCCAGCCACGCTGAGGTGGAATAAAGAGAGGGTGACTGTTGCCTCAGAAGAGGGCCCTGGTGTTAGGAATGGTCTTCATTTTGACCTGTTTGAGAGGCCACAGAAGCATCAAATGAACCACCATTTCACTAACACTAGGATAACTGAAAAAACAGACCAAAAAAACTGGGGGAATCTCACCTCTATGTGCCAGGAGGGGTCGACCTCCTGCTCAGCCCTTGGAAACCCCCTGGGAGTTCCAAATCTGCTTACACTCCACAGTATGAGGTCACTGTGTATAAAGAGCAAGTACTCCTGCTCTGCCCAATTCCACATTCGGTTTGCTGCTGGGTGGGGAAACAGAACCATCCCCTGTGGTGCCTTCTTTCATGAACTTAGGCCTTGCCAGGAATAGTTAAAAACTTTTCAAATATTGCATTCCATCAAATCTAAGACAACCCATTATTTTAAGTACCTCTAAGGAAGAAAAAAAATCAATGCCAGTTGAATCAGAACATGCTATAGATCCTAATTTCAGAGATGTAATAATATGAAAACACACCTCTGAAACAATAAAGAAATCCCACGACTGCATTACTGAAGAGGCAGTTAAGGACCACTTGCATGTACAGGACCCTTTCATGTCAGGCACTCCATAAGAGAAAAAGAAAGTGGTAAACCATTTAAACTTTTCAAATATTTTACTTAAAATGCATACTGTTTATTTAAGCTACTTCCCTCTAGTGTAGGAAACCTCTGCAAATATCATTTCAACAAATATAGTTGCTACACAAAACTATTATACACTCTACCAGAATTTTAATTCCTGTTATGTAGCAGACTCAAGATCATATGGTGGAAAAGTGATAAGCAACAAAAAACAGGTGCCATGAGTGACAAATACTTGAGAAGCATGGCATTTCATCTCCGTGGTAAGGGGTGAATTACTCAAATAATACAGGCTATCAGGCTAATCACTGGACAACAGAAGTAGGTCCTTACCTGACACCATATATTGTCAACATGATAGCAATGATCCATGAATAACAAATTAACCTAAACAAAATTTATGTCATGCATTACCAAAAGATAGATATACCTGACATCGTTATCAGGTTCCAGAGGTTCTTAGGTCAGTAACATAACAATTTAGAAAAACATACACATTTAATGGTTTCAGGTTTTCTAATGCTTAAACTATTTACACCAAAATTTACAGAAAATAAGGTAATTTCGAAATCAGCAGTTCAAAATAAATGATTTGCCTAAAGTCCACTTCTCAATCGCGTAACTCCTACAAACTCTGTATCTTTAGTTATCCCTAAAAACAACCTAAATCAATCATCTTAAAAATAAATTTAGTCTTTCAGAAAAGAAACAGTCCAGAGGTGGAATGGCTACATGGCTGGCTGGTTCAGTGGCTCAAGAGCATTGCCCAGGTCCCAGGTTCTTCTAATCTTTCTGCTCTGCCACGTGCAAATTATATCATAATTCATTGCTGAAAGACAGAGCCAGGCATCACATTCCAGAGGAGGAAAAGTTCAAGGTTCCATTTCACCCAGCATGATTCCTTGAAGCTTTGAAGAAAACTTTTCCAGAAATAACCTGTCAGATGTTTCCTTTATTTGTCTAGAATGGGTCCTTGGACCACTCTAAACCAGTTGCTGGCCATGAGAAAGGGATTATCATTATTGGCTGAAACTAATCAGGATTTTTCTGTTCTGTCAGGAGAAATGGATACCCAAACTTGGCCAGCCAACAATAAGGAGCGAGTGACTAGGGTGGTCACCCAACAATGCCAGCTACAAAGCCATATGAACCCACTCTTAATCCATTCAGGAAGGAGCAAAGCACAGTGTTTAAAAATACCATCCTATCAAATAAAATTAATTCCTAGGTTACACATTATGTGTGCTCTGCACACTTACACTTAGGTAGGCATCTAAATAAAAAACCGTAGGTGGAAAAAATTAGATTAAAATGAAACTATTTTAGGTTCATCTAAAAAACTGTACTGAGTGCAATGAGTCCTATGTTCCTCACTACAGACTTCTAGCATTAACAATTGTAAATTATCTATGCCATTTGCTATTTTTTGCATAGATTTCTATCTCTTGCTAATTCAGATACAGTTGAAAACATTATTAAGAACACTGGCTCCCTTATGGAAGACTTAGTTCATTACCAATGACAAAATGCATTTATAAATGCCAGGGAAGATTACAAAAAGAAGCATACTTCTTATCCTTCAAATATTAGTTCAATAACAATGCATATTAAGATACTAACATAGTGGTGCTACTTAAAATGGGTCTTTACCATATGCCTTAGAAATTATTCTAATAAGGATAGGATGCCTTTTCAAACATGACTCAAACTGAACAAACAATTCCTGTAATGCAGCATCTTAAAAAGCAAACAAACAGACCAAAACACCCTCAAAAGCATTAGCATTAGTCCTACATCCTCAGGACCCACTCATATGAGCTTAATGTTGCCATGTTGCTGTCTTGAGTAGCTACCTGACAACTTTACAGCTTCTATTTACATAAGGAGCATATTTATTCACAATGG